GGCGACTCGTCAGAAAATCGCAGAGCTAGGCTGGGAAATTCTGTCGCATCCACCATACTCCCCAGACCTAGCACCCTCCGATCATCACTTGTTTCTCTCTTTGCAAAACTTTTTACAGGAAAAAAAATTCAACACTGAAGCTGATGTCAACCAAGCACTAGTTGAGTTCTTCGCCTCTAAAAATAAATCATTTTTTAAAAATGGCATTTACAAGTTACCATCACGCTGGCAAGAAGTCATAAGTAACGACGGAAAGCATATTCTACAATAAATATTATTAAATGTATGAAAATTGTGTTATATTTCAATTAAAAAACGGACAGAACTTTACGTTAGACCTAATAACACAGGAACCAATCGGACAGCTATTATAGCTATGACAACTATTCTACATAAAATCGATCAGTTTGACCAGTCTACGTCCACGACAATTTTATCAAAATAAATGAGGACATGGCTTACAGAAAATTAAATCATTGGTTCGCTGAATTTGAACATAGTTATAAATTACCCACTTTTCGTCCTATCAACTTGATAGTTCTTTCATACCAATATAGAAAGTCCAGCATATAATAGTAATTTTTCGCAAACCGAAAAATCAGTTTTACAACATCGAGATCTCTAAACAAATTCTGCCAAATACAGTAAATTCTCCCAAATTGTTCCTCATCTTCTATACAAAAATAGACAATTTAAGAAGTTGAGGTACGATTATTCGAGCCTCGCGGCTCGTTTTTATAGTTGCCGATTGTCAACAACTATAAGATCGAGGCACAAGGCTCCAATAACCGCATCACATTGTCCATGTTTGTTTACAAGCTGAGGAACAATTGAAGAGAATTTACTGTACCAACTCGGTTGTCCACGCGATAGAAAACATAATTACAGTGGTATGCATAGAATCATGGAAGTGTTCGTATGATATTTTCCGGGACGCTTTAACGTCGCGGCAGCAGCTCAACGAAATTAGAAGACACGTGGCTTTGCACTCGGCTGCGGCCGCAAAACTGGGCGGAGTAAATCTTGGTAAATATTATTCCAACGGCTAGAAATACGGGCTCGGGGCGACTCGCGCATGAATTACACCGTGCTCGTGGGATGCTCGTCGCGTAAAGAGCGAATTATGTACCGGCGGAACGCAGCCAGTCGCAATTTGGTAACAATGGGGCTCATTAAAATTCATTTGTCTCCGGGGGAACGAAGTTAACCGGTGTCTGCGATCGCAAGACAAACGCGACTCCTATCGTCCTTGGTTCTATAATATATTTTTCCCTTTTGTTGCAGATCGTCGACGACTGGTACCACATGGTGCACGCGTCGGTGGTGAAGAGGTCTACGGAGCCACACCTGGGTGTACACGAAAGGCTGATACGAGACCGCAGGGTGCGCCGGGCCGAGCAACAGCGGGTCAAATCACGAACGAAACGAGATCTGATCAAACGCGGTCCGTCCAATCTCCACACGATTCTGAATGACGAGAGGTGGTCACAGATGTGGTACTTGGTTAGTTCATTTGAATATCAGTGATCTTTTGCTGGCGAGTTGATTAACGTGCTCTGAAGGTCGCAAGAATCGTTTTCAATCTGTACTATATTACCAATTTTAACGGAAAGTACTTAACCCTTTGCACTACGATCTCTTTTACAGCTAGGTCGATTAGTACTCCTTTGTCCTCAGTAATTTTTGTTGAGGGGGTTATTTGAAATAAAAGGGTGTAGAATGAAACACACGTGAATAACTATATTTAAGAAAGAAGTGAAGGAAACACTGTGAAGAAGCGCACAGTATGAGAATACGGAAGAACCTGAGAGGCCTGGGCGACAACGCATGTTTTTATACCTGTGTACTCTCCTGAGGTATATGGAAACCCTGCACTTCAGGATGTGAAGGCTTTCCAAGACTCAAGAAATTACTTCTTGCTTCAACAATTTTCCTAGTGGAACGAGACAGTTCTTGTTTCTTGTATTCTTTATAACTTTTCTTTCTTATATTCTTTGCATGTTTACTTTCATGTTTAGAAATTGATAGCAGAAGAATCAAATTTTGTTCGAAACCAGAATTTTTGTGGGAACTCTTGATCTATGATCGCTTTTAGGGGATGTTCTTGTATAAAATGCATTTTTCTTTAACTTATTCTCCGATTTTTCATTTTCCATTTTTTTGCAAATGAACACGTTTCGCAGTCATATTTATTAGTTTTTTTCTAAATTCCTTTCTTCAACATAACCTACACATTTTTTGGGTTCAAAAAATTTAAAAATGGTTGCATTGACAACTTTGAAACATAGATGAATTTAAAAGAAATGGTCCCACGGTGGCCACGATTGCGCCTATTCTTAATTAGTATGGGTTGGACACGAACTACAGCAAAAACATAAGGTCGATAATTGAAATAATGGCGACATTTTGAAATTTGAAGGCAATTGATTACGTAGATTTTGAGATATCGTTTCGGAAAAAAATATTTACGAGAAAAACACATTCAGAGTTTTCTATACCAATACTGATCATTAATGTTATGAACTTTGTGTAACTTTCTTAATTTTCAGAATTCAGACATGAGCTTTTGTATCTATATTTTTGAACCTGCATATATTCTTCACGAAAACGTAAAAATGAAAAAATCGATTTTTTCAAAGATTCACACTAGAATACCCCCTTTACAGCTACGTTAATTAACACTTCTTCCTCCTTAATTCCTTGGTTGACAATTTCGTATTAGACTCATTATGAAGATTGAAAACATAATCAACTAAATGTGAATGTTATTCATGTTTCTTTTAAATAGGAACACAATCCTATTCTTTTATTATCAATATTTAAACGTAAAAGCAAAGCTTAGGATACAATAAATATCAAATAATACACAACAAAAGTAGTGCAAAGGGTTAATAATTGGCATAATAGAACGAGATAATTTTTCTTTCATCTACGTCTTCATTTACCTTCATTCCTAGATTATGATAACAGAAAAATCAAATTTTGTTTCGATCGAGAACGAGTCTAGCATGCTGTTATAGTGCAAGAAGTTAACTTGATTTATTGCTAACATTAATAATGTCATAAGTTTATTTATATTATTCGTTGTATTAAATGTATGGTGCCCTCTTATTAAATGTGATAAAAGTATTATCAAAGAAAAGCTCTAAATTATGGAAAATATTATGTTGTATAATTGAGCTGCAAATTTGATACATTTATGATTAAAAGTTAGTAAGTCTAATGCAAAAGAGCATAAACATTTAAACAATGTACAAATATTGTTGCATTACTGTCAACTTATTAAAATTACTAAAAGAAAAGTAAATGTAGTTCCTGCATACTGTACTTAATTAATACAATTGTCGTTTAGTTGTCTAGTTATAATATCAAAGAATGGTTTTATAATGGATTTTATAGACTGTTCCTAATGAAATGGAGTACACTTTTCGTAATTGCTAACATCTAAACTTGTTTTGACAAGTTTTTAAACGACAATACTACCTCCACTGTAAAATTAGACTTTAATTGTTCAAGTAGAATTTTTTTTAAATAGATTCTAAATCATCGTTTAAAAATGAAACGCACAGAAAAGTTTAAATATAATTGGCAGTGTTACGGGTACGCACAGTTCCGCAGGTAATGTTCACGGATGTTACACTTTTTAATTAAGTTAGATGTGTCTATCACTTATACAATTACTTTACTCATTTATTGCATTTTGTTCATTGACAATTTCTGATTTGATTAATTTCGTACGGTATGTTTTCCAAATATGTGAAACGTACTACAATGGAACATACTAATAAAATGTGACATACGCATAGTTAGTCCAAAAAGTAATTAAAAAACGCGGTAGATATATCATCAACAAATTTAATTTTCTTTTATAAAATTAATGTTATTTTTATTGATAATGTAAAAGAAATATAGATATATATATTTGTTACAGTTTAATACAATTAACTTTCAAATACATTGAAGAAATTATAACAATTTCCTATCGGTTTCTCAAATTTATTTAATTTTCTGTAAGTGTCCTATATAATAATTTTGGAGGGGAGTGGAGTGTATCTACGTCTCCTATTGAACCTAACTTAATACAAAAGTGTCAAAAATGATGAACAGAAATGATAAATCGACAGAAATTATTGCATCAATAATTTAAAATAAATAGGTATATTTTTCAGATTATGACAAGCAGAGTTCTATATTGATATTAAAATTTTTGACTATTTTCGAGATTATTGGATTTGATACTTCTAACAGACGACGAGATTCTACGATGTAATGCTTGTAACAAACGATGAGATTCTACGATGTAATACTTGTAGCGGATGGCGAGATTTTAATGCGAACTTTATCGGTCCGTTAAAATGTAAAGATGAAAAACCCCTTCACCAAAATTTACTAAATAATAGGGCACTGGACCCATTAATTTCTCAAAAAGACGCTAAAAAGACTCTCAAAAATGGCATCGTCTAAATCGACCGCAACCTAAAGACAAACAGTAAGACAACACGCTGCGACAAGATATGCGTCGCGACAGGCAGTGTTGTTATGTAAAATACAAATTCTTATTCACGACGGAGTAAAATATTTATGAAGCAATTTTATATGTATTTAGCAGATTGCGACCTCTGCAGGATTAAGGATTACGTTCTGGTATTAAAAATAATTAGCCGATATCCGAATAGTTTTGTAAAGAATTCTCTGTCGAATATATCAATTTAAACTCTGTAGAATAATTGACGCGTATATCACGAAAACATAACATTTTCATTAAAAAGAAAATATCGTTTCAATTCAAATTTATGTAGATTCACGGAATTGTATCTAACAAAATTGTTCTATTGTGTAAAGTAGAACAAGTACCATGAATATTGAATTGTCAAAGAATGCTAACAAATTTTCCTGTTTTATAACTTGTAACTATGTCCGTCAAACAACAACAGTTGTTATGCAAACTTCAGACTATGCCATCTGGAATGTATTTGAAATTATTAATTAAAAATATGCGTATCGGTAGAACATACGTCATTTTACTATATTTTATTTACTATAATTAAAAGTACAATATATAACAATAGTTTTCTCAATGCTATGTACTGTGAATGGGTGCCTCTTATATCACCTAAAATTGGTTTACATACCGAGAACACGCGTTCGACATCACACGATGTTGTAGGAGCATATTTATGCATGCACCCCTGACGTTTTGGTATCTCCTGTGGCTCTTGAACATATTCGCTTCTTTTAAAATGCTCTTAATTTTTGATGATATATCAAGAGTAATATTACGTTTTAATACAACCCGAAATTTATTCCTGACTTTTAAAAAAGGCGATATAAGTTTAATCTTTTTCATTATAAAAATATTTTAATAAAAATGTATTTCTGTCCCACCTTTTGTCGGCAATTGTTAGATATTTTCTCTAAATTTTTAATACCATCATTAACTAAGTCAACTGATTCTGGTAAAGATAGTCTTATTATTTTTTAATCTTAACTTAAGTAACTTTTAATAATCATTAAATTTTCTTGTAAGTATATATATATATTGCAACGCTTCTTCTGTCGGTTTAATTGACCACGCCTCTTCTTTATTAAAAGATTCAATAATTTATCTGATCTTTTCCACGTGCTCAAATAAAAAAGAGTTGTTAAAATTGATTCTAATGGTAATGGGATATTTCCTAATTTATTGTTATAAATTTCTACGTGTAACGCAGCTTTTAGAAATGCTTTCTTTACAGTTAATATTAATTTCAACGATATCAACTAATGTAATTTAAACTGATTAAAATTTAAACCAATGTAAGTTGTTTAACTATTAAACTATTTATATATCAAATAATTGAAAATCAGTTCAAAACTGTAACTCATTACGATCTACGTTTCTGCAATAAGTATGCACGAAATATGCTATGAATATGTTCATAATATGCAAGAAATACGCCTATAACATGCAGGAAATATGCAACACGTATAGAATATGCATTAAATAAAAGATATATTTTTCGATTCCACTAATGACAAAACAAAGTTTTGTCCAGATCCCATTGCTTTATGTATTTTTCATTAATATACGAATTTGCATGAATATCCGCTTAGTTGCAACCGACTTTCATTCTCACAAGAAGAGCGACCCATTTTTTCCACAAAATTGAAGCAATATTCAATCAAATTTGGACTGAGTGCAGCACTAAAAATGTCAAATAAATTCAATACGCGTTTCCATTTAATAAACGTTTTAGGAAGAAAACCGTATGACCCACGGAAAATTGTTACATTTTTCCTCTCTGAAGTTTCAATACATAGAACAGATTGTCAGAGTACCATTTATTCTTTCGAAGTGTGAAATGGCATTTAACGCTATTTTTACCGATATTTTGTATTATACAATGCTCCGAATTAATTTTTATGACTGTAGCAAAAGTCAAGAGATAACAATGTAGAAAACAACCTTTAAAAAATAGTGTTAAATACAAATGATTAAACGGTGTTTTTTAACAACTTCGGTAGAAGTAGTGTTAAAATTCAATGCCAATTTTATTATACTAATCATTATACATATTCCACACTCCCCGTTTTCTTTTGTACGTAGAGGCGACTATATGAGCTAGCTGTTATGCTCGAGGTTTTCACTATTTGAACGATAAATATGCGAAACACAAACACATTATAAATGTAAATGTTGACGACTCGTTTCAGAATAGGGGGAACGGATTGGATATGAACGTGCAGGAAGCTTGGGCCGAAGGAATTACGGGGAATGGAATCGTGGTCACGATTCTTGACGATGGATTGGAAAAAGATCATCCGGATCTCTATAAAAATTACGTAAGTCTATACACCGTTCTATTAAACATTTGTGATCGCATCGCTGACATTTTAAATCTATGTACCTTCAGATACATTTTACAGAAAAGATGCTGAATTCAACTTAATCATTTCTAAATTTCTCAAACAAAACAATTATATTTTATAGTAGTATTAAGACGTTTGTATCAATTGCTTTTCGGTCTTTGGAAGGAGGTATAAATTTTTGTTTCTATGCTTATCTTGAGCACACGTAATGTCTCTATTATGCCCGATGTTAGAAAAAAATGTGTTCGTGAAAAACTGCACGGTTTCACGAGACGAATGTAAAGTTAAAATAACATTTTTTCAAAGTCATTTTAAGTCAAGTTTTCCAGATCGTTGTGAATTTTTTTTAATGGGATGATATATTTTCGTTAATGCAATATTGTAGTTCACACAAAGATAACAAATTCAACCACATATAATATCATGATTTTTAGATGATCTTGATCATTATAAGTCACGTTTAAAAAATTGACAATGATCGTACATATTATCGTATCTTTATATTCGGTCATATACTCATGCAATTTGACATCTACACATTGTTTCTAACATGACTGACTGAATTTATTGATTGAATTTCATGAATGAAACTCACGAATTGCAGCAGTCCCGATCATCAAGATTCAGACAATTGTACACTGTTGCGCGATAACGCGCCAACTCACAAGTCACTTATTGTTCGTGAATTTTTGACCAGAAATCAAGTCTGTGTGCTCTATCATCCACCATATTTACCTGAATTGGTCCCGTGCGATTTCTCTTTATTTATGAATTTGAAATTGAAGTTAAAAGGTTGCTTTTTCGAAGAGATTCCGACAAACCAAACGTCTTCAACATGGGAGCTATTATATTAGGTCTACCGGAAAGTTCTGTCCGTTTTTGAATTGAAATATAACACAATTTTCATACATTAAATAATATTTATTGTAGAATATACTTTCCATCGTTACTAATGACTTCTTGCCAGCGTGATGGCAACTTGTAAATGCCATTTAAAAAAGAATGATTTATTTTTAGAGGCGAAGAACTCAACTAGTGCTTGGTTGACATCAGCTTCAGTTTTGAATTTTTTTTCCTGTAAAAAGTTTTGCAAAGAGAGAAACAAGTGATGATCGGAGGGTGCTAGGTCTGGGGAGTATGGTGGATGTGACAGAATTTCCCAGCCTAGCTCTGCGATTTTCTGACGAGTCGCCAAAGCAGCATGTGGTCTGGCATTATCATCGGTAGCCATGTTTTCACGATCGCGTCTCACTTAATAATGACACGAGACATCTTTGTTTCAGTTTATTTAGGAGAGTACATGTGTGTAAATGCAATGATAAAGAGAGATAGTCATNATAGTAGTATTAAGACGTTTGTATCAATTGCTTTTCGGTCTTTGGAAGGAGGTATAAATTTTTGTTTCTATGCTTATCTTGAGCACACGTAATGTCTCTATTATGCCCGATGTTAGAAAAAAATGTGTTCGTGAAAAACTGCACGGTTTCACGAGACGAATGTAAAGTTAAAATAACATTTTTTCAAAGTCATTTTAAGTCAAGTTTTCCAGATCGTTGTGAATTTTTTTTAATGGGATGATATATTTTCGTTAATGCAATATTGTAGTTCACACAAAGATAACAAATTCAACCACATATAATATCATGATTTTTAGATGATCTTGATCATTATAAGTCACGTTTAAAAAATTGACAATGATCGTACATATTATCGTATCTTTATATTCGGTCATATACTCATGCAATTTGACATCTACACATTGTTTCTAACATGACTGACTGAATTTATTGATTGAATTTCATGAATGAAACTCACGAATTGCAGCAGTCCCGATCATCAAGATTCAGACAATTGTACACTGTTGCGCGATAACGCGCCAACTCACAAGTCACTTATTGTTCGTGAATTTTTGACCAGAAATCAAGTCTGTGTGCTCTATCATCCACCATATTTACCTGAATTGGTCCCGTGCGATTTCTCTTTATTTATGAATTTGAAATTGAAGTTAAAAGGTTGCTTTTTCGAAGAGATTCCGACAAACCAAACGTCTTCAACATGGGAGCTATTATATTAGGTCTACCGGAAAGTTCTGTCCGTTTTTGAATTGAAATATAACACAATTTTCATACATTAAATAATATTTATTGTAGAATATACTTTCCATCGTTACTAATGACTTCTTGCCAGCGTGATGGCAACTTGTAAATGCCATTTAAAAAAGAATGATTTATTTTTAGAGGCGAAGAACTCAACTAGTGCTTGGTTGACATCAGCTTCAGTTTTGAATTTTTTTTCCTGTAAAAAGTTTTGCAAAGAGAGAAACAAGTGATGATCGGAGGGTGCTAGGTCTGGGGAGTATGGTGGATGTGACAGAATTTCCCAGCCTAGCTCTGCGATTTTCTGACGAGTCGCCAAAGCAGCATGTGGTCTGGCATTATCATCGGTAGCCATGTTTTCACGATCGCGTCTCACTTAATAATGACACGAGACATCTTTGTTTCAGTTTATTTAGGAGAGTACATGTGTGTAAATGCAATGATAAAGAGAGATAGTCATATATCTTTCCGGTAGACCTAATAGATGCAATATCACAAAATATGAGCTGGATTACGCACTTTTGAATCCCTTTTAAATTGCTATAATAAGTGTATTGAAAAAAAGAGGAGATTATTTTGAATAAAACATAATGAGATTTTGTGTTTTTTGTTTCTATCGTGTTTTACTCGTCGAGTCTAAAAAATTAATTGCCGCACTGCGTATTTTTCTCGTAGGTTTTCTGCTTTTTCCGCCTCCGACTAACACAAAACTTCCGCAGCGTATAGTAAAATACTCTTCGCTAAACCTCTAAAGAGATCGTCATTCTCCTTTCAAAATTATTCCTAAATCTTCTCTGACCTGTATCCCATGTTTGACCCAGCATCATTTTTGCCTATTCGCACGTTTCTCTTATGTGCCCATCCACCATTCTTCTCGAATAAATATCCTAGATATTTCAATTCTTTCACCTCTTCCAATATGTTGTTTCTCCACTTCCATTCCTCTTTTCTCTCCTTCCTTTCTCGAATACTAATATCTTTGACTTGTCTACACTCGGGATTAACTCTTTCCTCTCCAAGTATGCTTCCAGCCCTTTTAACATTTCTTAATTATGTTTTACATTTAAAAATATATCAAAATTCATACCAAAAGTTTACAGTATTTCAAATAATATAACTAACACCGCTATTTTCCTGTAATTACTAAACTTTTCTTGCAATTGTTTCAGCAATTATCGGCTCAAATTCGTGCCATTTTATTTTACTTTTGGATTATTCAGTTACTTTAATTACCACAGGTGACTTTAATAATCTTTAAAAAATTACTGATTAACAATTGATGACTTAACATATTTTTCACGATATAAATAATTTTTCTGCGATAGCGATTTTATTCGTAAATCAACAAATTAACTCGTATAACATATAATCTAATGATTTCGTTTAATTCGTTTAATTAAATATATTCTAAAAAGAAAGAAAATTTCGATTGTTAATTATTTAATCTATTTTAATAATAATTTATTCGCTAACAGTATCAACAACTAACAACCAACCATGTTTTCTAGTCAATTATTACTGTCTCTTAAACGCAAGCTATTAATTTCTCGGTTTCTCTGTTTTTCTTGAAGAAAATAATTCCGTAAAATAATTGAAACGACGAAAAGAACAGTATACGTACGAAAGAAAAACAATACGAGACACACAATATTCGTGAAATTATCGTACAACATAACGAGAATATCGTTGCAAATACAATGCAAGCACGTAGCTCAGCGAATACAGGCAGGAAAATGGGATTTGAACGCGTCTAGATGAACGAATACGCCGTTACAAAGCAGGTTTACAGATCCATGATTTCGCGTAGCGCAAAGGATTAAATCGTAGGGGTTTGCGTCACGGTATCGAAGTTACTAGGGAATTCAGAGTCAGATAGCGAGTCGAGTGGTAGTCTTGAACCGCACCCGGAGCGTGTGTTTACTAGTGGATGGCCGGAGTTAATAAGGCAACCACAGAGAAATGTGCACAGAGCTCTACAGGGTGTTCCGGATTCCGTGGTATAACCGACGAGACCATTACAATGGACGAAACATTAATCGGTTAACCAGATATGTAAACTATTTTGTCATACCAGAACGACAATTCGGATGAGCTTTTTTTACGACATTTTTCGACATGGAAGTTTTCAAAAGTAATGCATGGAGCGTGTTATATATTAATCTATATATTTTCTAAATATGTCATAAAATATTTTGTCAAAATGAATAATCAACGAATGAAAAGTGATATTTTTTATTACTTTAAGCGTGATAATATAACTTCTCACTGCGATGAAAAAAGGCAACATTTTGAAACGAGTTCAACAAAAGTTAATTCCCCAGTTAACAGGTTAAATAATAAAGTTTACAACCTTTCTTTTCCAAAAATAATCCAGTTAAGAAATCGCATAAAGTGACTGTCTATGATCCAACATTTCCATTTGTTGCAAATGATAATGCTTTTCAGAAATATATTTGTAATTTTTTAGGGAAGCTTGACAATTTTCTAATTTACTTTGTAATTTCATTTCATTTTTAGTAACAATGTCGTATGTTCCTCTCTTGTTCCTCCGCAGCGACTTTTTTCATTGGAATGATTAAATTAATCAAATATGTAAACTCGTTGTTAATTTACATCTAAAGATTGCGTTCCTATGTTCGTTGGTTTAAAGTTACATCGATCATTTTGAACATATATGAAAATGAATTGTAGAAATGTAAGGAGGATATCGTATGGAAAATTTTGAATTATATTGTATGGGTGAACTTATGTCGAAGGATTAGCGTTATCGGCAGTCGTGTCATGGTTTTAGGAGCACCCTGTACAATACGGCAGTAGATATGGACGCCCATGATCAGATACGGGTTGCTGCCCCGATATTGATCTAAACGAGATACACACCGGCCGACTATACGCTCGGCTCTAATAGAAGGCACTAGTAGCAGATCGAAAATATTGCAATCGATAAACCAAGAAGCACTTATGAGTATCGGATCGAATATTTGTGTCTCTATCGGACCGCAAAGTTTAGAGCGAAGCAGTATGGACACAAATTTCTCGGACGGCTTCTGGAGATCAACTTCACTGGCTTCTCGTAGCAAATTGTGAAACTGACAGTTTTCACTTAGACGCTCATGAATTGCAGCAGTTTGATCCTCTAAAATCACAATCCTTTAATTATTATTAAACATTTTCATTGGAATTACGTGAATTACGTAATTGATACGCGCGCGTGAGGTCACATAAATAGTAATTTAATATTGTTAGTGATATAGTTGATACTTTTATGAAAAATAAATATTTTAACACTTCATTTGCGAGAATAATATTTATATAATAACTTATTTATAACCGGAAGCTTATTAATAGGCTTTTCGACGACTAAACTCTGATTAAGATAAACTCGGTAATTTTCTTCTAAATAAAAATCCCAAAATGACTCGTTACAATTTATTAATCTAAATAATTTCATGGATTACGGATGAGATTATTCTAGAGTTCGAACGATTGTCCAAGAAATTCTTAGCTGTTGTTCTTCGACTTTAAAAGAATTATTAGTAAACTGCCACGGGTAAATCAAAATTTAAATAAGGTCAAGATACCATAAAAATATACATAAAAGTTTCACTGTGTTATGTTTAATCCATTTGTCATAATCCAATCTATAGATTAATTGTGTCCTAACGTGTCTGACCATGCGCAAACCATTTCTACTTGCACGAGTAATATGTAAAAAGAAATTACTCATTTCCCATAAATTTAATCATCTCTTCGCTATAACATCGAATTATGTAATCTCAACAATCTTACTAACAATGCCATACGACCAACGATTTTTGGAAATATTTCAGTATAATTGAATCGCAATGGTCAGATATTAGATTAGTTTCAGATTGAAATAAATTAACGGAAAGCTAAAAATGCTACTAAACGAACTACTAAAGTAAAATTAATTAGACTGTATTGGAATTTATTTTTTATCAAAATATCAAACGAAATATTCATTTCTAGACGTAATATACCACTTCAAAGACCAGAGGAATTCCCGGTCTCTCATTTCGGCCAATAAAAGTTTCTCGTACGCATGAATTAATGGACGAACATTTCAACTACTCATTTCAGCTGGGTCCCCACAGCCAATACAATTTTCTATGCCATTCTAATATTAGAATCGTTTAAACGTTCCGGCACAATTTCGTAGCGACAAGTTTCGGAACCGTGACATCGGACCAGGAACTTTGAAACAATCTCTTATAAACCGCCCGAAGGAAAATGTAATTAAATCGAAATCAAGTCGGAAATCGATATTCGTCGTGAACTTTGTAAAATTGCAGTCAATTTGTATTCGCTAATTCCAAAACTAGTTCTCTCGGTATTAATTTGCTGACTTCTCCCATCGGGTTTCAATGAGACCTATCGCTAATAATACCGAAAACTCTATGTATATTATAACTTTTATACAAATCTTTACTTACTTACTCAGACGTACGCAAACTAAAAATTCGACGGTTTCTTAGTTGATCTATTTGGACAATAATTTATTTATTTGCTATGCCAACAACTAACCAATCACGATCTACGAGAAATTAGTACTGTTCTTTTTTAAATGCAAACTGTCAATTCCTGGATTTATTATCACTTAATACAACTGATTTGATCTAATTATAATTACATTCGCTTCTTATTTTATTCTTATTAATTAATATAAAGTGTTTTGCTTTTGTAATGACTAAAAAGTTCAACTGTCCTATATTTATTTTACTTTCCCTTCGTCATAGACACTTGTTGCTATATCATTATGTAAAATAAAAATCATCTTAACAAGCTTTAACAAGTTGATAATAATGTAACAATTCTTGAATTCTTCTAATGTCATTACAGCTTTTATTTAAGATATTCATATTTGTCATAAGTGCATAAAATTTCTGGGTTTCTCTTTAAAAAAATAACACTACGGAATAAATAAAATGATAAGAGAAGTAATATTTCTACCATGCATACACAGTAAATTCTTTCTAATTGGCCCTCAGCCTGTACACAAAAATGAACAATTTGGAAAGAAACAAATTTCTCGTAATAAATGGTTTAGTACCGTTGTGTAGAAAATAACGAGCTGCATAGATTGGAGCAACAAAAAATTTGTGATTCCATTAAAAAAAATGAAATTGTCCTCCATATCTTCTTCACGTATTGACCTGAAGAAATCTTACTAACACCAGATTATGTACCCCCTGAAATCGTTTAACTTTTATTCGAAACATTTTTCAGTATCGACAACGGTTCGCGGGATATTTCACTGGATCGACTATTTAAAAAAATGAAATTGTCCTTTTTATATCTTCTTTACGTATTGACCTGGAGAAATCTTACTAACATCAGATTATATACCCCCTGAAATCGTTTAACTTTTATTCGAAACATTTTTCAATATCGACAACGGTTCGCGAGATATTTCACTGGATCGACTTAAATGGGTCACTTTGTATAGTTAAAAAATTATATATGTATATATCTGTATACATACTATTAATAATAGGCTATATAAAATAAAGTTGTCACACACATTTATTTTTCGTACACCTCATTATTCGCCTCATTGTTAGTTTCGTTTTACACTGTTCAGAAATTCAAGCACGTGTGATCCTAATAATCGGACGACGGAGTTCGAGTCCATTTGGACCACGAGTGTAAATATTGTAACTTCGCTATCTGGTTTCTGATAATTAATTAACGTTGTCACGTCTTCATCAAAGTCTATATTAAAATGTATCTTGACTAATACTGATAAATAAGGTGATCCTAAGCATACTCATAACAGTATAAGCATACGATTATTCACATTGTGAACACATATTTATGGAAAATTGATTCAATAAGTTTGTTTCCTTAGGCATACATTATGATCCAAATTGCGAAATGTCTGAATTTGTCTTATTTTTATCAAGTAATAGGAACTAGTTGTTTTTGGTGCTCCGTAAACCTAGTGTTAATTAGATTTCTAGGGGAACATGAGGCATAAAGGAACACATCAGACGATTTGGAAGTAGACAAGTTCGATGAAGAATGAGACTAACTCATTTAGTGCGATCCTTCTATTAAATTAATGACATTACTTTATTGCTAAGTATTTTTGTCTCCACAAAAACGAATAAAATAATTTTCAATTTTCAGCACTGTCAATTTCACGATGACAGTGACTTTGATTAATATTCGATTAATATATTATTATATATAAATTGTAATTTTTTTAGAGATGATAGAGGAACCATAACTGGAATGCTTTTTTCAAATCTTGCTATTACTTGGAATGACAAAAGAAAATAAAGAACTCTCATTTTTTAACTTTTTTATCTGTAACTTGTATTTAAGTTGAAAATTTCATCGAAATCGGTTGACCTTGGTATGGGTTATAAACAATTAACAATCGTGAGAATCGCAGTTTTGTCCCGATTTTTGACGCTTCCGATCAATAAGTGTGAGAAATCTGCAGTTTTTAAATTTTCTTAACGTTTGCAACTTGACTTTATGGTAACCGATTTTGATGAAATTTTTCAGTGTGCATATAATTTACTGAGATCTATAAAACGCATTTTTTAAATTTTCATTCTAAGTAATAGCAATAGCATTCCAAGCAATAGCAATATTTAGAAAGAACATTCTAGTTGTGGTCTAATAAACTGGTCCATCTCTCATCTAAAAATAAATTCAAGTCGTTTAGTCCAGTTCTAAAAAAGTGATTACGTTTTAAAAGCTGTTCGAATATTAATCAGAGCCACTGTAGATCGAGACCGTTGAAAGCAAATAGCAGTCTAAATTGGTTTCATCCATTGATAATACTGCCTGAACGAAAACAACGCAGGACAATTCGTCAATCGGAAATGAAATTATCGTTCCAGGACCCGCAAGCCAGTTACGACGTGAACAATCACGACGAGGATCCTATGCCGAGATACGATCTTCTGGACAGTAATCGACACGGCACCAGATGCGCCGGTGAAGTGGCAGCCACTGCTAATAATTCCATCTGTGCAGTCGGCGTCGCCTTCGGAGCTGGCATCGGGGGTAAGTCCGCACAGAACGCCGTTTCAGACCCCGTACAGGTTAACAAAACTCGTAACGTGGGCAGTATAAAAAACTCTACGCCGCTGTAAAACCTTCATGCTTGAGCCACCTTTATAGGCTGAAGACTTCTTCATCGCGCAATGACGACCGAAATAAATTTACGCTTCGCGGCGCGCGCGAACCTGGCCCTCTCGAACATTTATTTTTATCAGAAAACGTCTGAAATGTGCACGAGGTTTATATTGTCATTTCGTTTGCTATCGCCTGTTTACTTCCTTTTCATTTTCTTCGCGATTCGATCTGTAATTTTATCATTTTACAGTTTGAACGTTAGTATAGATTCTAACATATTTTGGTTGGTGCAAATCTTTGTTACGGCAATTTTATTTGGTTTTTGTCGAAGTGTTTAGAACTGAAATATTGTAGATATTATTATATTATTCTACAATTTTTCTAGTATAATCAATAATAATCACACCGATGATGTTTATACAAATGCATGTCTTTTTTGGATAATAGATATACCAATGCTACCTGTACAGTAATTGATGTAATCGTCAGGCGATTACAAATAAATATTTTTCATTTTGCATATTTCGCATGTTGCACATGTATTGCATATTTGTGCTTAAAAACATATGCAATATATTATTTGTCATGTACATGCATATATCATGCTCACCTGAATCATACATCTCGTTAAATTAATTTAGCCTATTAGTTAGCATCAGTATTATAACCGGATTACGTTGGTATTAATCGAAACATTGATTTGACAATTAGACAATAGGTGTAGCTATTAGTATTTCGAATTCGAATAGTTCAATTTGATTATTAAAGCGACACGTTGAACCTTTTTTTGTGCGAGTGCATTTCAATATTTCTAAAATGCCGAAAGTTCGGAACACCATCAAATTTAGGAAAAATGCTTGTGATATACTGTGATTATAGTAACTGTGAAACATTTCTTGATATTTGATATTAGATTTAATAAATAAATATAAATATAGCTATAAAATATCTATTTTTATATTAACATTTATACGTTCAATTATAGTTAACCCTTTGCACTCGAGTGGTGACTCTGAGGCACCACTAAAATTGTTAATTCACGTTCCAAGATAATTTTTATGTTAATAACGTTTAAATTTTAAAAATTGTTAAAAGTATAACTGTCATCACAAGCCATCGCAAGACCCAATTTCATATGCATAAAATGCACTTTGTTATATAAAATGGAAATACCATAAGCCAGAAAAATTATTTTAGATTTACAGTTGAAATGGCTTCGAGTGCAAGTAGTTAATAATGTGTAGTTCGAATGTTATACATTGTTTGGCTTCGTATTTTGCGTTTTCTTTATTTAAATAATGTTTTGTACAGGTGTGTTCGTACGATGTATTCGTACACAATTTGTAACACAAAAATTTTCTTCTGAATAATTTAGACTATTCTTATATTTCAAGGAGATCCCTTGAAAAGATGCTTGAAAAGAAATTTACGACCACGGATTCCTGAACGATTTTGTTTGTAACATTATTTATCTTCCGTTGCACATTTTATTAGAATTGCTACAGTATCTAAAAAATTCTCTAGACGAAGAATGAATACCAAAATGCAAGTACATTTGATAATTGATACGATTGTAAATTTAAATTGCTGTTAATGTGGATAAAATTGATCGAGTATTTGCAACTTTCTTGCACGTCGAATATTCCTACGATACTCCATCATTTCCAACAGTTGTTTAAACTTCGATTATACGCTCCTGCTAACGAAATAACGCCGTTAGCTAATGCGTTGAACGTATAATTTGCTACATACGGGAAAATCATCCGCATGTGCCGCAAATTTAACAACGTTTCCTAGCGCATTGTCACAGGAACCTAAATTGGAAGGTCGAAATTAGCCTCGATTCAGTAATTGCAAGCAAGTTCAAAACTGTAATCGACACAGTAACCAGTAGTGACCACTAGTTAGAAACCATATTTAGTGCACCCAGGACGCTGAAACTGGGAACATACCTGGTAACTATAACTTCGGAATTATTCGATTGCAGTTCCAGGCACAATAACAATCAATTATCTTGAAGAGTACTCTTAACATTTTTCAATTTAATGACGGTGATATTACCGATGCATGCACTCGAAGCTGAAG